AGCAAGAATGATATGTATGAATTTTCTAAGTTTATCAGGAAAGTCAGAGTGCTGAGCGTTTCTCAGAATGGGCATTGTATGTGAAATGTATTAGTATTTATGAACTACTGCATAAAATCCAAAAGAAATATTTGTTCTAATTTTACTGTTTTAATGTTTAATGTTACAATATTGATCTCAAAGAACAACTGATGCTTCTTGACATTCTTTCAAATCAAGGCCTATTTTCTTCACCAGGAGAACTTGTTCTGAGATGCAGCTGAAATTACCCAAATAAAAATCTATTAAAAACAGGTATGAGAATGGAGTGTTCCTCTGAGGGTAACGATGCAGACAGGAGAAAGGAGATGTTTCCAGTTTGGAGCTGTCAAACTGAATGGCCCCTCACACCTCACTCTCGTTGGTGAGCTATTACAATCTGTCACCCTTTGTTGCCTTCACACATACTTCTCTTTGCGATTCGGGAAAGAGAGCTTCAAAGCAGCGGCCTCATTAGTCTGAAAGACAACCAACCAGGAGAGGCCTGGTCGCCGGGGGAGACACAATCAGCGTCACCCCCGATCCAGCACATCAGTTCCTTAAAAGTTACTCTTAAGGCTGATCTCATCACGGAGCCTTTCTCCTGCACGGTAAGCCTGTCTTTAATTTCCCTCCACAAAGCTGTCACCAGGAAACAAAGACCTTCAATGGAAGACATTAAAAGCGTGTTCAGGGAAAAGCAGAGTGCAGGTGGTTGTAACTTTTATTAAGACATTTCAAAATGCTGGTGACTCAGGCTGAGATCAGTTTTATACTGGACATTCTGATAACAAGTACGCAAGTAAAACGTAGTGCGGGTAATGCAGGCCAACCTCTGTGTATTAAAACAGATTAACCATGTCAGGCTAATTGAGAGCACAATGTAACTGCCTTTTATCAGGTGGAATGCTGTGCTGTTTCCTCTAGCTTAAGTGGCGTAATGATCTGGGACAGATGAAGCAAACTGGAAAAGCTATCCAGGTATCTCGTATTCACACTTTTAAAAACCTGGGGCCTGTATCACAAAGCAAGATTTCTTGGTTAGCTTCACAACTTATCGAATTTAAGGTATCCTACACTCGTAGACAAAAGGGTAAAAATCTGTACTTTCGCTTGTCACTGGGGCAGTACCCTCAGGGGTCTGCCAATTGTACCCTTAGCTGTAGGTAATTGTACCTTGTACGGTACAGAAATGGACTCTGAGGAACATTTCTGTACTATCGATGGTACATTAATGCTGTTTGTATCTTTGGGATGTTCCTCAGAGTCCATTTCTGTACCTTAAAGGTACAATTACAAGGGTACAGTCCCAGTAACAAGCAAAATACAATTTTTTACCCTTTTTTCTGAGTGTACTTTAAATCGACTTTACCTTTATTCACTTACATTTAGCTTGGACTACCTTAAATGTGACAAAGTTTCCTCACTAACCCAAAAACAGCTTCCTGATACAGGGCCCTGCTTTCCTTGGTAGGTATTGGTTTGTGTTTACTCATTAATTATAGCACAATTACACGTAATTACCTATCGCTAAAATGAGGTGAAATATAAACCAGCACACACCAATTAGTCTGGCATTTGGAAAACATCAATTTAAGACCGAGGTCTAAGAATAGGTTGACCTTAAACATGATTCGGTTTTGCGTCAATATATGCATGCATAACAGAGAGGATTTTGAACAGGAAAACAGAGACATACCTTTCAGAAAAATACCCTAAAAGGTTGGGCTTGTGCTTAAGTTAACAGTTCTGTTCAATAAATTAATGTTTAGGTCTATATACTTATTTTCTGAAAGAGCATTTTGCTTGAAACGTTAACATACGCGGTGAAACAAAATAGAGAACATTTATGAAAAAAATAGAAGCGATACCTACAGATAAAGTATGACAGTCTAACCGAAAACTTGTGCAGGTTTACTTAAACAGTGACAAGTGACAAGTAAACAGCTAGTGAAGTCCTTCAACACCACCTCCAAGATACAGGCCAGCATGCAAAACAGCAGCTACACCTGCAATAATATCACGGTACACAAAACGGGCAGTTCTGTATTTCTATTTCAAAGCACATGCAATAGCATGGAATAGACTGATAGGACCGAGAATTTCTTGTAACCTCCGAAACATTTACCCAGCTCAGTTTAACAGCACGGGTCTGCTGTGTCAGTGGAAAGAAAGTGCTGGAGAGTGGAAGGAGAAGCGTGCATGCGGCACTGCGGCTGAGACTCCATGGAAATCCCGGGACAGTCACTAAATACTGCGCTCAGTATTTAATCTTGTGAGCCGGTTTAACAACGGCAGTCAATTAAAAGAAAAAAACTAAGTTTTAAAATTCCAGTCTTTATCAACAACGAATGCGAGAACTACGGGATCATGCCCAAGGCGTGACATAAACGGTCTCGCCCGTTTATTAAAAATGTATGAGAATATGATACTGGAGTGATAAACGATCAGAATTCAATGCATGCCACCACACTTTTAAATATATTGCCTACATTGTTTTGCTTTTGTGGGCAACTTATCATCTAGTCTTGGTAGACATACTCAGAATTCTTGTATTAAGTTACTGTTTTGACACCAAAGTTTTGCAAGTTAATTAAGACATATTCTGGCAAAAAGGGTGCCAGTATTTGACATTAAAACAGATTATTCAGGCTATGTTTGCTTTATATTTTTGTGCATAAATATATGCAACCAATTTTACCATGTTAAAAAGGAGAAAATATGTACTTCTCTAATATATGTTTGGGCTCCAGTTCTAAACTGTGCATTTCAAGTAGGCCTATCTTAAACTTGGCAGATCAGATAAATATTTCAGTTGTTAGAATTGGATTTTACATTTCTCTCTAGCAATTCAAATAATTAAGTAAATTTGAAACATTCGATTTAAGAAGAGCCTACATTCCTCGCTGTTCTGTCCCAGATTGATTCACATGTAAGAACTTTTACTAGGGAAATATTACAGTGATGCAGTGGAAGAGTAAAGAAAAAACCTTTAGGGCCTTTGAAATAGAGAGGGAGTCTGTTTGACAGTCAGTTTGTTAGAACTCTCAATCACCCATTTGTCAGCAGCAATTAGTAGTACACTGCTTTCTACTTTCATCATTCAAACAAGAGACAAATATACTGTATATTTGTTGGTTGTCATTTAAATACTCTTGCATGTATATTTTCACAAGTATTGTCTTCATTCATACTGTCCTGGCAATGAGGTGACACATCACAATCCCCGTGACTACTTTCATTTCCTCAGCACTGCAAAAGTTTTGATTTCCGAGAAATATACTCCACATCATATCTATCTTTCGCTAATAGTTTAAACACTCTCCTTCCTGTACCAAGTGCATCATTCCTCCAACTAAATCTATTACAGAAAAATTACAAAATGAATGACCTAACTGACATTATTGTAAAGCCCTGTGCAAATATTTACTTAATAGAAAATATCACAAAATAAGTTATGGTTTTAGATGGGAACTCAGACAAGCTTTTATATACAAGTGCAATTGAAATGTATGACTTTTTTTGGCTTTGGTCATAAAAAACAGCGTTTCCCAAACCAGTCCTCAGAGACCCACAGACAGTCCATGTTTTTGTCCTTTCCCAACTCCCAGCAGGGAGCAAAAATGTGGACTGTCTGACAGGGAGCTCAGAGGGAGCAAAAATGTGGACTGGCTGTGGGTCCCTGAGGACCGGATTGGGAAACGCTGATAAAAAAATGGAAGATATCAGGCATACTTTGAGCCTCTGCACTATATATTTCCTCTATGAATAATACTATATTTACCTCCAATATATTTACCTCTTTGTGAATAATATGTCCTCTCCTCTGAACACTTCCCCTAGGTTTTACTGCAGGCATAGCGAGGTGAGTTTCATACTTGTGAGGTGAAAGGGAACTTTAAATTTTAAAAAATATATGTAAACTCATTCATGAAAACAATGTTGTTCTTTATCTGTTTCAGTCTCCTTTGTTATTAATTAATACAAATGGGTTGAACACATCTGCAGGATTCTTTAAACATTATAGTTATTAGTATCAATTCAACAGGTAAAGGATTTACCACCAATTGTGCCACTACAGGGTAATGTCTGCACATCTCTGTGGGAATGAATTTTTGAATTATTCATTGTATTGGAGAGTCAAGTTTTCTGATCACCAAATGACAAGTTTAAAAGCAAAACTATATGCAAGAAAGGTTTTCTCGCGTCTCTTAGCTGACAGTGTTAAAGACCTCGTCTCTAGTGCTTCCTGGTAAATCTTTAGCATTTTCTTTTGTCTTAATAGTTCTGTGTTGTCATTCCTGTTGAATATTGTGACGTGACCAAACAATGATCCCAGTAAAACAGAAAGACTATATTTGACAGCTGTGGAACATGGACCGATCTATAAAACACAACACAGATTTTAGGCATGATGAAATTGTTTTCCCAGCTAGTTTTCTTTCTTATTTCATACAGATGAATATCTTTACCTCATACTACAAAGGAGACACAATACATAATTGCTATGAGTCGAGTGTGACTGATTTTTAGTGCCTGAAAGTGTATTTATGCAATTGAATGACAGACTTAATACATATCATAGCACTAACAGCTATTTCACAAGTTTGTAGCTCCCTCTGATGACTGTTGGCAGGCTTACAAATGATTTTTTTCTCCATACTCGATCCAAGTGACAGCTGACTGGCTAAGAAGTAATTGGTCTGAAGTGAGGTCATCACAATGCATTTATCTACGCACAGGGTGAGGACATACAGAGCAATGCTTCCCAAGTTAGCGATTCAACTGTGAGAGTAATTACAGCCTCAGCTCACAGGAAGCTTTATATACTCATTGCTTTTGTGAAGTGCGACTTTTTTTTTTTTTGGGAGGGGGAAACGGATATCAATATGCCCGGCTCTCATCCTTTACGGCATGTAAGTCACTCAAAAACTCCCGAAAGGCTGTTCCCAAGCCGGGAACACATTCCAAGGCTTATTTAAAAATGCTCTACCAGGGTGGTTCACGAGTGAAGAGAATCGCTAGTGAGACGCAGTGAGGTCTGCATGCATGCAGGCAAAAGAGGGAGGTGCTGGCAGCCTCAAGTCAGTCCAGACCGCTAAACAGGACAAATGTGGGCAGTTCTAAGAAGAGTGTTTAGTTCACCGCAAAAGTGTCCGTGTTTATAAAGGCTAGACTACAAGTATGAGGTGAGCAAACCAGGACAGAAGAGATTTAAATCCAATGTTTCCCTGTTCATATCTATCTGATATTTTAGTAAGTCACAGTGGTTTTAATTCATTACAATCGGTCGGGCTGATTTCCACTTTTGTACCTGTTAAACTTGTAGCACCTGCAGGGGAGATTTCTTGGGTCTGAACAAGTCATCCAAACCTGCTCTTCTGTCATTTTCTAAATCCTGCAGATCCTCCGTTCCTGAGACTGCCAACCCAAAAGGCGCATCCTTCAGCCTGCAGTGGAACCGGCTGCAATGTCCTAGGACTCTGGACAGAAGAGAATTACATACGAGCGACTCCTCCGAACCCCATGAACGAAAAAACACACCAAGGGAGCAAGAGCAGCATTCGCAGTTTCACTCGTGAGGAGATTGTAAATCGAGGAAGCTGGGTCGAGGACCCTTTGGCCTGAGATTCCCCATACGTTTCAGCATGTTGTTCGTAAATACCCGTTGCATTGCATTATAATGCACAAATGGATGCTGAAATGGAAGCTGCCAACTTTGCTCTCCAAACTGTACTTGCACATCATGTTTCTACTGAGCGGTATGTGTCTAGCTTGCAGTGATCGGACTCCGGAGCAACTGGCTGCAATTATGAACTGTTCCAAACATGAGAGGCACACGAGAAATTACGATTATATGGAGGGAGGGGATGTAAGAGTCAGGCAACTTTTCAGTGGAACACAATGGTTTCTCACAATCGATGACTATGGCAATATTAACGGAACTCAAGATCCAACCAACTGCTACAGTGAGTACCTAACCAATGCCTTCTCATTATGCAATCCTGTAAGAAAAATGTCATCATAGTTACAGACTGGTAGCCTTTGTCAGTTACGGTTTCTTATATATGTTACTTGCAAAACTACATAAAGAACAACAGAACTCCAGCAATAACATAACATTGTTTTTATTCATATATCAGGCCGTCTAGGCACCCACATTTCAAGCTCTTGATTATTAGTATGTTTGCCAACTGCTTAATTTGTCAACTTGTGTTATGTTTGGTTGTGTTATGTATTAATTTGACTGAATGGGTAAATAACTTTAGTTCAGTTTGAATGCATTCTTCGACTTGCCTTGCTTACAGACATTTTTATACTGAGTCCTATATATATAAGTGACACAGTTATAGTACGATATTCTTAAGTTAATCACAGGCAAGAAAAATGACAGCGGTAAAAGAAAACAGGTGTCTCGCTTGGCAAAGTATTATTTTTACAGTCTAAACAAAGGTCCCAATAAATTAAACAAGCCTGTAAAGCCGCAAGTCCCAACTCTAACAGATTGTGTCATATTTGCAAGTGTCAGTGAAGATCAAGTTAAACCGCTGAGTCACGTGTCCAGACCATGACACAATATTAGCCTTAGGGTTGATTTTGAGGATTTTGGTTTTGATAAAAACCATACGAAGGTCGTAACTGCTGCCTGAGTATGCAAGAGAATGCGTAGCATCTGCAGTTTCCAACTGCCACATTCATCTTCGTTGTCTCTTCATGATAAATGTCGTAATCGTATCAAGTTACTTAGGCTGCTAGGAGTAGCTAGGTTGCATGTAGAATACAAGATGATCTATGAAGTTCAGAATAAATTTTAAATACAAGTCCAATATATGCATTTCTGTAAAAATCATTAGTGAATTCACCATAGCAAAAAACACATACAATTGGAGTACTTGTAACTTTTAAATGTTGCAGAAAAGGGAGGGTGAAGGGTTAAGAGCGTATATGGTCTTTCTACAGATTACTACACACCACGGGACATAACTCAAGTACAAATAAAAAAAGCTAACACGGCAAGTCAAACACACTAACCCATGGACGGCCCACGAACATCACAGACTCTTGTCTTGCCATTCTAAGCTTCCAAATATATTATGATTACACAGTGCAGAGGGACAAAACTGGAAATTACTGTTGAAAAGCTGCGAAAAGTGTAGATGGGGCGGGTCTTACAATGGGAGCACGTGCAGGTATCAAAAACACAGAAAAAGCACATCTATGAGATCAGCTAACTGTGCATAGGATTATAGTGTTAAGCTAAAATACCAGGCAAATGGGATTAAGTATTACATTTACATCTACTACTACTTGTATTTAATCATTAAAAATCATCAAAGTGAATTTCTGTTTCTTTAATAAGCAAATTTTAGTAAGTAATGAGCCGAAAACCCTCGTATAACTTCAAAATTGGCAGTGATACGTAGGGCTATTTGTAAAAAAGTGTCATAATTCAGTGATTGCTTCTATTTAAATAGATTAAATACACTGTCCAGTGAAAATGAGTAAAATGAGAAATAATGAATTAGAATGAGTAGTCTACGTGTAAATTTAGGGCTGAGTTTATTTTACACACTGGCAAATGAAGAATAGGCTGGTATTAAATCGATGGGCACATGTAAAAAGTGCCAATGTTCAACTAGCAGAAACTTTCAATGTTTCCTGCTTAAACTGCTGAAGGAATAGTGGGTTTATTAATATTTGATCTGGCTGTCCTGATTGTCTGGGAAGGTTCATTTCCAAATGAAAAACATGGGAAAAAGATTGAGTCATTGCAGCCTTCCAGAGAACTGGGATTGCAGAAACGCATTTCTTGTCATCAATTAACTGAAAAGGGGGATGGGTTTACGATCAATTTATGAGGTATGTAATTTTGTAGAAGCGCACGGACAGCCTGTACACTGTCAGGAAAAAAGTACCAATTTGTACCTCTGGGAGTATAATTACAGTACTTGTCACTGGGGCTGTACCCTCGAGGGTCTGATTCAAACAAATCGCTTCTCACCTTAACTAAAAAAAAAAAACCAGAATGAATTTTCATGGGAAATACCAGCCAGACAAAACCAAGAGCATAAAAACAATCATTTTAAAACAAGCTGACATGTAGCCATGATATGTTGCAGATAATGAACTGGATTTCAGTCACCAATTAAAGTGTCTGTTCTGATTTATGTACTGAATTACAAACATATGTTTCTGTCTGGGAAAGGCATACATAGCAAATACAGTAAAAACATCAACAACACTGATTTATGAACAATTCGTGCCTGCCTGAATCTATAGTCGTCATATTAAAGATGACACCTTCTTGGTATTTGAAATACATGTAGGCCTACTGGTTAACTTGATAGTCTTATGACATTGAACATGAACACCATTCCAAAGGGTTGAACAAAATAATAATAATAATAATAATAGAACACATACTACAGAGTTACAGTTGTGGTTTTTCACTACTATCTCACCAATATAAAAGATGTAAACGATATCAACTCCACTCGAGCGACAGAAAATGACGAATCAGTCACAAATAGCAGAGTCAACCAGTGGCTGGGCCAGCACAGCATGCTAAGCTAAATTTGTTCAAGCTGGTTAAAACCTTATTAGGGCTCCCTGAATGCCATTTGTGGCCCGTGTGTGCATTAGCGTCTCCTTGTATCAGCTAAACAGTTACAGTTGCTAAAACATAGAGAGGTACCACGCTGCGCTTCAGGGGAAGCCCGAATTGTGCCCCGTTTTGTACAACATCGTGTTGGCTGGCCTGAAACATCTGCAGCAGTAGCCATATTCTCTCCTGGAACTTTTACCCTCGTCTTGTTTAAATTACATTAAAAATGCGGTTTCGGGAATAGAGACAAAGAAATTTTTTTTTTTTTTTTTCAATCCACAGAGCAATTTTTCTTTTACTTGTTTTTGTGCAGTCCTTTTATTTATTGGATAATTTGGCCTAATGTTATAACATTGCCTTTTATATTGAAAGTCAATGATTATTACGTCATAATCCATGCATTTTCCATAACTGTTCATCCAAATCAGCCTTTCAGTGAACATGGAGCTAATTGCACCAGACATGTGAAGCACCCTGGGCAGGACGCCCATCCATCATTGGATCCATATTCACCCCTAGTTCCACACTAAGGGCAATTTAAAGACACTAACCGATCTACACCACATGTTTGTGGACTGCGACAGGAAACCCACACAAATACAGGGAGGAGATGCAAGATTCACAGCCGCAAAGCCTGGGCAGGAATTAAACTCAAGGCTTTCGAGGTGTGAGAACATAGTGCCATCGCTATACCTTAATGTTTTAATACTGTTAATACTAATATATGAACCAAAATCTTGAATTATTATTTCAACAACATATTTTAAAACTGAAAATTGAAATAAAAAGGGGAATTACATAAATTCAGCCATTTCAAAGTGTTGTTTCTCCTTACGTTTATGGCCCTCTCATAAATCACAACAGCAGGTTGTTTTAACAGAAGAACAAAACATGAACTTCACAGTGATGCTCATAATATGCTGTTGAGATTATAGCAAATTACATGCTGTAAACGTGCTTTTTAAATCTGAAACAGTTTATACAGAAGGATATTGGCTGACCCACGGTTCCAAAGTAATTTTGCTGCAGATTCAGTGCCAAAGGAGGTGCCATGCATCTGGATCTCTTCATTACTTAATTCAAAATGTTATAAGTTTAGACAGCATTTAAAGACAGTGACCTTAGATGAACCTTAAGCTTTTACTGAGGCACAAAGCAGGCAAGCAAGCTCTGCTGCTACACATCACTGAACTGTGTGCTCTGCTAACCAATCACAGGGTAATCTGGACATCGGTGTTAGCAGGAAATATTTACTGTCCTAAAGGAGTTCATAGTTCTGTTTGTTTATCCATCCGTCTTCCAATCATTTACTACAGAAAAGGTCACATGTGGTCCTGGAACCTATCCCAGACAGTGAGGGCAAAGTCAGGGGGAACACCATGGACATGATCCCAGTACATTGCAGGGCACAGAGAGGCCTACACTTACACTCACAATCACTGCTACAAGCAATTTAGAGATGCCAAAGAAACCCTCCAGGCAGATTTGAACTCCCAACCCTTGAGGTATAAGACAACAGTACTATGCACCAAGCCACCCCAGCTATATTTTTAAATGCCTCAGGTAATCATATAAAGGGCAGATATTCCTCTAACTATCAGAAATGACACCCAGTGTATAGGATGAGAAAAGAATGCACTGAAGAAGACACTGCCAGCCAGTCATTTGTGTTATATGGCATTTCAGAACTATGAATCCGAAACTGCATAATTCATGTGTCAGCCCTCCACTCACGCGAGAAGCAATATCCACAAACCAGTACATCATCTAAATGGGGCAGAACCCATTATACAGAATAAGAGCAAACAAACAACTAATTATAACCAACTACAGGCCCTGTAGTATATTGCAGTGTAAATCTGTGCTGCTTCCCAATGTAGAAGAACAAGTACTGCACATAAAACACGGTCAGACATAAAAGTCCAGAAACCATCCACGGAAGTTCTTTTAGACCTGAGGGTAAAACTCACCCAATCTACATTTCCAATAGCAGCTCACAGTAAACTGTCTGACTCTGAGGTATAATGTATGCAAAGAATTTCCCTTTACAGCGGGAGTTAGATTTTTTAAATATGTGTTACACTGATCATAAATTCAGTTTGCAGAGACAATCTACAAGGACAGATTTTGAGTTGCTTAATACAAGCCTAATTGTAGCCTCTAGTTTCTAGGGACAGCTAAAAACAGTTGCAATAATAAGGAAGTTCCAGAAAATGCTGGTAGAATAAATATTAACAAGAATTTCTAAAATACCCCAATTCTTGTGTCAATTCCCAAAGCCATGTTTTCAGTTATTAAGAAAGTTGTTTTGTTGTCTTTCATTCAAGAAGTAATAAATGGCTGGAGCTTTTGTGTTTCCTATCAAACATCGTTGAGGTGAATCCCTCTGAATAATTGATACCAGCTTAAGTACAGCTGCCAAAAGTCATGTGAATAGGCAGCTGCTTTTATCTGGGTTAATAATAATAATAATAATAATAATAATAATAATAATAATAATGATAATAATAAACTCCTTGTTAACAAATCAATCCTTCATGAATTTGTAGACATATTTTCCAATGAATGGCAGTATACAGCCAGTATTATTTTTCTACAATAGTTGGACTATGACTGGACTAATAGACCAAAAGATATTATTTTATTTTCTCCATAAATGGAGCTACTCAGCATCTGTTTTGAAATGTAGCGTGCAAAGCTAATGGGAACAGACATTTTTTTTACCCTCAGGATACAGCGTTTAATCTGTTGTCCATATGTGCAACTTCATGAGCACTGGATTCTGGGATGGCCACCCAAACCATTTAACAACTCAACTTGTTCTTATAATGTGGATGGTTTCTGATCTCAAAGGGGGAGACACATTTTATTAGCAAGTTTTTTTTGTTTGTTTGTTTACTAACCTTGCTTTGATGGCATTGCAGGTATCCTGGAAATACGCACAGTCTCCGAAGGAGGTATCCTCGCTATCAAAGGGGTAAAAAGTCAGTATTACATATCTATGAACAAGACAGGAGTATTACAAGGCAAGGTCAGAAACATTCAGTACTTCTATACATACTTTGTTACAATAAGTCTCAAATGGTGTATTTCTTGTGCGCAATCCAGCATTTCACTGTGAAATTCTCATAAATATTTTTTTTAAGTCAGACAGTACCTAACTTACTGCGATTATTTACCTTTTCAGAAAACATACAATGAAAACTGCAACTTTAAGGAGGTCTTTCTAGAAAACTATTTCAACGCTTATTCTTCAGCAAAGTGGACTAAACAAAATGGCAAAGAGATGTTCATTGCTTTGTCCCAGAAGGGGAGGCCCCTGAAAGGCAGGAAGACGAGGAAAGAGAACACATCATCTCATTTCATCCCCATGAAGTGCAGAGAAGAGGACAAGAGAGTGGAGTAGAGCCACTGAGGCGTCTAGTGGACTCAACGCTGGCAGTGAATAAGAGATACAGTACTTGGCTACCCCAGCTGGTCTGAATGTCAGTGCTGATGCACAATTCCATCGCATTAACGCCAACCTGCTAAATAAACATTAATAAACATTAATGCTATGAGAAGAATAGTAATTCATTACAGATAACACATTTCACAGATTTTAGACAGATTCATTGAGAACTTATTCATTTCAAATTAAGATATTATAGATTACTTATTTACTTTAAGTGCAAACAACCAAATGAAAATCATAGCACCCTGTTTACAAGTCGCTATATGTAACAAATATAAGATAAATTCTGACACAATATATGCATAATAGAGGTGCACTGATGCTAGACAGGGTCCACCCAATTGCATTTTAGGTAAAGGCTTATCCACCAGCATGATCTGTACCAGGGGCAGGTGGCAGGAGCAGACGTGTAAAATAAAATCTACAAACACACATATAATCATGATACAAATATTATTATGGGTTTGCCAAGTCACTCAATATTATATGTATCTGCACTAATTTGGAGTTGGAGACAGGTATTCTGTAAACATCAGATATTTTGTCTAGCATTTATTGAACCATCATTATACAAACTACAGCTGTACCTGTATGAATGAATGCAAGCTGTGTTTTTATCTAAGAGAATATGCATGGAAGTAAATTCAAAACATATGACTATTTTTCTATATATTAGGTACTACTAAGCCAAAATTTCACTGCAGTACTAAATTCGATAGGAGACAATGCATTGACAATTATGAGTATTGTAAAGTTATAATTTTATTTTCTTTATTAGTCCTATTATTTCCATTACTAGATAATTTTTAGAAATTAAACAAAATTGAAACACACCAACAGTGAGACACAGCAGTTAATATATTCTGACATTTTGTCCATCACTGGACAAACTCTATTATACTGTGTTAGTCAAGCAGCATTGAATGGTTTAATAATATATCAGGTATTCAAAAAATAATTGACTCTACAATGGTTTGTTATATAATGGTTGGCTGCAGGAACTACTGAAAAGTAAACAAGCTGGACTTGCTTTTTCATAGAATGTGTATTCTGAACTCAACATTTAAAGTGAAAGAATATATACTGATATATATATAAAGATAATGGTCAAAATTGGATCATAACAGCAAAACAGATGTAACCCCTATTTATAAATACAAGCAATACCTGCTTTATTGTTTTATAATAACCGTGTAATGCCTTTTTAATAGCTGCTAGCCCTATTAACTCAGCTGTGGTTAAGTTCTACCGCATTAGAGCCTGAAGCTGCTGATAAGGTTCCATGACAGCACATTATGAGCACTGCTCAGTCAAGCCCTCTGTGCATCCCGCTTCTCATTCGCACAGAATGAGCACTGCTCAGTCAAGCACTGTGCATCCCGCTTCTCATTCGCACAGAATGAGCACTGCTCAGTCAAGCCCTCTGTGCATCCCACTTCTCATTCGCACAGAATGAGCACTGCTCAGTCAAGCACTGTGCATCCCGCTTCTCATTCTCACAGAAGGAGCACTGCTCAGGCAAGCCCTCTGTGCATCCCGCTTCTCATTCTCACATAATGAGCACTGCTCAGTCAAGCCCTCCATGCATCCCGATTCTCATGCTCACAGAATGAGCACTGCTCAGTCAAGCCCTCTGTGCATCCCGCTTCTCATTCTCACAGAATGAGCACTGCTCAGTCAAGCCCTCCATGCATCCTGATTCTCATTCTCATTCTCACAGAATTCCTAGTGAATATCATCCAATTATGTTCTGAAACTGTTGATGTCTATCAGTGATCTCACCAATCACAATTTAGTTTACATTATATTTATAAAGATTCACCTTACATTATTCATCATGTCCCTGCATTCTATATATTATATTTTTGGGTCATCTCATTCATAATAATGTAAAGAAATGCTTCTCACAACTTGAAATCCTTCAAAGCCATTATATGCTCAGTGTATAATACAATGCTGCATTTTCTCCTGACGATGGTAATACATCCGTGTTATTCTTTATTGTTCTATATTATTTATATAATTTATATAAAATATAAAATGCGTAAGATGTTTGAAACATGCCTGGTTTTGTTTTTCCTGATATCGCTTACATATAGGATCCACCCTGCCGTTAAAGGAAGCAGATGAAGGTTCAGACCATAACAACACAGAAGGGTACATCATCCATGGCATTAGAATATAAACCGACGAATACTTCACACCCAACAAGCATTTCTAAGGAAAACTTAACTCTGTACCAATGATCAGAAGGTTGCTGGTTTTAGCTCCACCCTCGGCAGAACGGTCACATGTCTGTGGGCCCTTGAGTAGGGCCCTTGAGCAAGGCCCTTACCGCCCCCCCATCCAGGGGCGCCGCACGTTAGCTGATCATGTGCTCTGACCCCCAAGCGATGGAGGGCAAGATGGGGAGTTGCAATAATAATAAAGAATAATTCTGATGTACTTAAAGGTACAAAGATGCAAATAAAGGAAAACCAGAATAGAGCAGCATAGCTAGTTACCAGCATATGCTGTGTTTTAGTGCTGGTGGACCATTAATAAAATATTGCGGATGGACAAACTTCTTGTGAGGGCAGACTAGCATAGCTACGCTGGTCAACCAGCTACTGTACACCAGCAAGTAACCAGCACCGAATCAGCATGGAGATCATGATGATCTGTGCTGTTTTTTCAGCAGGGTAATTTACCTTTCCTACCCTGGAGCATTCCAAAGCACCAAGTCTTCTCTGTATCTTTTTATGGTGTGGTCACTTACACACTATTACCTTAGAACAGTGGTTCTCAATCCTAATTCCTGGCGCCCCACATGCCAGAATGCTTTCATTCCAATCCTACCCTTAATCAGGCTTATATGGTCCTTAATAGGCTAAAGCTGGTTACAGACCGAACGCGGCATACGCTGTGCTCGCCGCGAGGCTTCTGCGCAGAGTAGGCGTGGTTTTCAAAACTCTCTCCTGTCATTTTGGCTCGCGGTCAGTAGCGACGATGTATATTTCGCATTCAAAAAGATTCTACGCTTGTGTGATATAGCTCTGGGAACTCAGACACGGACAATATAAGTTTTTCCTCCATTTCGTTTTCTGTGCCCGGTTCGGTTCCTTGCTTCTATTGATCGCGAGATACAGCGTCACAGCGCGCAGCGGTCAAAGTTCAACAAAGTTCATCTTTGACCCCAGTGCTCTCACAAGCTCCGCGAGCGGCGCGCGGCATGGAGCGCAGCGCTGTGTATGCCGTGTTCGGTCTGAAACCGGCTTTAACCTATATAAGGACCATATAAGCCTGATTAATGTAGGGTTGGAACGAAAACATTCTGGCAGGTGGGGCACCAGGAGCAGAATTGAGAACCACTGCCTTAGAAACAGGTTTGGGTTCTGAAATCCATGACCAAAAACCTCAGTCCTGGGAGTAGCTTAAGAAAATGATCTTTACAAATGGTGTTAGGATTTGCCACTGGATGTACTGAATGGTCAACAATAAACAATTAATCATCTCGAATGACAACACTGAAAGGGAAAAGACATTTATGGAATGTATAAGTGTAGGTGGAAAAACAAAGTTGATTCCCCAAAATGCAACTGTTAGCAAAGAATGGCATCAACATTACAGCGTGGTTATAAAGCTATTTAAAACCTCCGTCTATAGCCATGGTGTGATTGATGCCACCCTGCCGTATGTTTGACTGTACAAACCATAATAAAGTCATTTGAGGTTACCACACACAGTGATAACAAAGCGCGAGCCAAGCGCTGACAAACAGCGCAATCATTGTGTTAACCAAGGGACCACAGCCCGTCTCCCAGGTAGCTTAACTCCCCCCGCAAATAGTTTATTTTCAGTTATTGCATTCCATTCCATTTTAAATCAGATCCCATGCATTTGTATGAGGTTAAGTATTAGATTCTTAAATATGCATTAAATATGCGCAGCTCCTCCAAATGTTCGTTTGGAGTTCGTTTTATGGCTACTTTGTTGAGCCTTATACTATTCATTTTATTGTCTTAATTACTATAAGCCTGCAACATATTCCTAGATACTTCAGTAGGTAAGATGCATAGAAATCTCACCAAATGTCATTTTCGAATCCTTTTCTTTTTGTGCTGGGTAGAACTGCGCATATTTCGCTAAATGAAATATAATACATAAAATTTAAGAATGACCAAAGGGAAACGCTGGCAGACAGCCACACACATGGAGAAGCACATCGAACGAGAGCCCTACCTTCTGTTAGAGTTCACATCTGGATCACAGAGAAATGACAGATAAAGAGTCTAAAATTGTGAGTGCAAACTTCTGAATCAGTTTGACCTAAACAATGTCTGAATAAGGTGAAGGCTTTTGCCAAGTCACGCAACGTTTGTCTGAGCAGATAATTCAGAACATACTCGAAATGTAAACACATTTTCAGCTCTGGACTACAGACTTGAATTCTCTGCAGATATATGAGATACACTTGAAAACAGGAACAGAAGCTAGTACAGTTTAATGGATATACAGATTTATTATTATAGTACTACACCAGTTTCATTATAACTACTGTGTAGCTAATTCATTAAAATGTCTTGCATTCTTTAATGCTTTAAATTGTAATGTTTTTACCACTACTGTATATTCAAAAATGATCTGTTAGCCATTTATTAGACATAAAACAAAAGCACTGTCTTAAAATCTATACATTATCTTTTTTAATAGAATTTTAATCAACAGAGTGATGCATTGTAACTATGAGTAACCAGAGGCCATGTGTGAATGTCAGGAATACGTAAGCTACAAATCAGTAACGCAATGCCCAAAAGCGCAGAAGCTAAGGCAGGTCTGGGCCAAGGTATATTTGCAATGGCAACCTTCCAGTCACATCAGCTTGTTGTTGAAACTGATGCTGGTAATCCAACAAGGAGCATGTCTCACTCTGGCAATGTATCAGCCTTACATCCTGAATGGCTTGTCAGGAATGAACGGTCTTCCATGGAGAAA